AACACTCATATAGATGTGTGTACCTGGTGCTGGTGTGTTGGGCTGGGTATCTGCAGGCGTCCCAGTAGAGGGCGTTTTTGGATCTTCTCCTGCTGCAATGGCTGCTGCTCTTTTGCTTTCCTCCAGTTCTTTCATCCAGGGCATTGACCACTGACCATTCACATGCTCAAACTCCTGGACCTGTAAGAATTTAAAACAAGCAATCCTATAACACCACTGCCATTCACAGAATCAAATAGTACACTCCTAACCAATAAAACACTAGCAAGCGTAACCCCACGCACCTTCTTGCGGATCAGTGACATTACACCTATGCGTGTGAGAACATGTTGTCGTGACAGTCCTTCCCGTGGAACGCCATCAGCAAATGTTTCTGCCCCGTCGGCGCCTGGCTCACACAGGTGACGCATAAAGAGGGACACGTATGCCCTGAGAAAAAGAGAGAGTCCTCAAGTAAATGAGGTAAAAATAAATAAACAAGAAGTCCTCTAGGGACAGTTACTGACTTGAACTCCTTCTCTGATTTGCCTCGCAGGTCTCTAACGAGCCACTGAGTGGTGAAGGTATCTTGGGGAGGCATCCCATAACGCATCACTGCATTCAGGAAGGCCTTCCTTTGTCGAGCATTGAAGCCCAACACCTAATGAGGAGAGAGAGGTTAACTATCAGAATCAGAATGAGCTTTATTGCCAGGTATGTTTACACATACGAGGAATTTGTTTTCGTGACAGAAGTTTCCACAGTATAACAGAATGACAGTGACAGAACAAAAAACACAGATAATTAAAAAAATAAAAAAATAAATAAAATAAAATAGAACAAGTAAAATAAGGAATAAAAAATATGCAAATCGACAATTGTATGTACAGGTATACAACAATAGACAGTTGTATGTACAGGTATATTATGCGCAAATTGAAATGTAGACTGAGTATGTGAGTTAGATAAATAAGTGTATGAGTGAATAAATAGTGTGTGTTCCACAGTTATTGTCAGGTGTTCATGAGATGAATGGCCTGAGGGAAGAAACTGTTCCTGTGTCTGGTCGTTCTGGTGCTCAGAGCTCTGTAGCGTCGACCAGATGGCAACAGTTCAAAGAGGGAATGTGCTGGATGTGAGGGGTCCAGAGTGATTTTGCTAGCCCTTTTGCTCACTCTGGATGAGTACAGTTCTTGGAGAGAAGAACTGTACTCTGTACTATCGCTGAGTATGTGGAGGAAATGGAAGAAACAAGCTGAAAAGTAACTGAAGCTGAACCTCAATGTTTCCTCCCACTCTGGCCAGTAGAGGAGGCAGGGGTTTATCTTTATCATTCCTCAAGCCTTTGCGACTTGGTCTTCGGGCGTTAGCTAAAGACAAAAAAAAAGAGGATCATGTAAATACTAATACATAATAACTGCTTATTCAGATAAGGACGGTTTAACTTTGTTCCTGACCTTCAGATCGCTCATCAAAGTCCTCATCACCCTCCTCTGAAGCCACAGAGTAATCTGATTGGTTATCAGACTGATCATCCTGCCAGTCTGGGAACACAAATGAGTGAGGCAATATATTACTGAGCACTTGAGTTTTCTTGACAAGAAAATATTAAATTTAAGGGGACAATACAACCAGGATTCATGCAGACACGTAAAACAAAGGTCAAACTTTTGGACACACTGGACTGAATTTGATTCTCATAATCTTAAAAAGTTTTTAATCTAAAAACATACATCTAAATGCTATAATTTCTATTTTATTCATATACAATGTATACATTGTATGAATTACATTATTTTTTAAATGAACTATTTTAGGCATATTAAAGTTTTGCTTTGATTAACATTTTTTAGTACATAATATACAACATAAGTCCCATGTTTCAGTTTAGTTTTATAAAAGTCAATAATAAAGAATGGGTAGGCGTGTCCAAATGTTTGACTGGTAATGTACATCTAAACAACCACCTCCATAAATTAAATAATTTATAGATTATAAATGTAAAAACTTATAAATGCATTATTTTAAACACAAAATATAAATTTTGAATAAAAATATTACACGTATAACACACCAAACCTGAGATCACACCGTTAAGTTTGTCTTCATCTATAACAACACTCACAAACGTACAGGGAAAGAGCAGTAAAAAAAATTTTTTT